TGCCATCAGGGCATTCATTTGCCTGCAGGGGCTGGTAGGCCACAGGGGGCCTATTGCTAGCACATAAACTACAGTAGAATAGTGCAACATAGGGTAAACCACCCTCATGCACTTTAATTCAGAATCAAAAAAAAAACCTCATTGACACAAACCTTACCCAGAAAGTCTCCTCCTCCTCCATGCAGGACCCTGTTGTCCAAACAGCTCTTCACACCATAGAAAATGTTGACATGCCACTCCTGTTCAAATCCCATCTCTCAGACTGGAGATTTGATAAGGGAGTGTTACTCTATAAAGACCAGGTGTACATCCCTGATGATCCAACTCTCCAATGGACCATCATGTCCAACCACCATGATCACCCCTCTGCAGGACACCCTGGTGTCTTAAAGACCTGGCAGCTCATCTCTTCTGAGTTTCACACACCCAATGACACCACCCCTTACACCCATCCCCTTGCCCTTGACCCACCCCTTCCAACAGATCTCCTGTGATCTAATCACTGACTTACCCCTTTCTAGGGGCTATGATTCCCTCTTGGTTGTGGTAGACCATGGGCTTACAAAGGGGGTAACTTTATCACCCACAAAGAAAACTGCCTCTGCTGCTGATATTGCAGTCCTCTTTTTCAAGAAAGTCTACTCCCATTTTGGGTTGTATGACAAAATCATATCTGATTGAGGTCATCAGTTTGCCTCAACATTTGCAAAAGAACTGGCATCCCTACTTGGATACTCCCTTGCCTTGTCAACAGTGTATCACCCTCAGACTGATGGAGAAACAGAACATGTTAACCAGGAGATTGAAACATATCTTTGTATCTTCTGCCAAAATGACCCCACCCTCTGGGTAGACAACCTGCCAATGGCTGGATTTGTGCACAACCACCATCCTCATTCTGTCACTCACCAATTGCCATTCTACCTCATGTATGGCTATGAACTGAAACTGCTTCTGTCCCTGATTGCAGAAACCCACCTTCCCACCAGTGAGTCTAGACTTGAAGAACTCTGAAAAGCCAGAGAAGAGGCCCTTGCAGCACATGACCTGGCCAGCAAAGCAATGAAAGACCACTTGTCATGACCCTTCACCCCATTCCACAAAGGGGATAAGGTTTGGCTAGAAGCTTGGAACTTAAAATGTTCCTATGAAAACTGGAAACTTGCCCTGAAAAGAGAAGGACCCTTACCATCTCCAATGTCCTATCTCCAATCACTTATTGCCTTGTGATTCCCACATGATGGAAAATCCACAATGTCTTCCATGCCTCCCTCTTATCACCCTATTGTGAAAATGATGTCCATGGACCAAACTTCCTGGCTCCACCACCTGACCTTGTCAATGAGGAGGAAGATTACAAGGTTGAGGCAATAGTCAGCCATAAAAGGTCTGGCCATGGACATGCCTTTTTAATCAAATGGAAAGCCTACCTTTCTTCCAAGAACTCATGGCAGAAAGAAGCACACCTAGAACATGTGGTGTCACACACAAAAGGTGTTGTGGACATGGTTTCAGCTGACTCTGCTTAACTTGTTGATGAGTTGCACACAATCCCCATGCCATGCAGATGGAGACTAGAGGCCTCATGTGTAGAAAGACTGCTGGACATGAGCAGTCATCCTTCACACAAGAATGAGTGACTTCAGGTAACCCATTTTCATAAGCATTTAGGCTGAAGTTTTTCTCCAAATCATCCAAGCTAAAAGCCACTCAGACCAGGTCATCTCAGGGACATCTGGCCATGTCCCAGGGCTATTTACAGTTTGCAGGACCTGGGATGTCCCATAATCCCAGCCCTTTGGTAATATATTGTGGGCTGTCCCATGACTGCCTTAGGTGTCAGGGGTCTTCAGCTACAAAAGTTCAGCTCATATTCACTGAAATCCCACTTCTGACCAAGAAACCATAATTGTCACAATCATCCAGGATGATGAGAATACCTGGCAAAGTAGAGGGCTATTTATGTGGCAACCACCAACTTTCCAAAACCATTTGGTACACTTATTATGCACAGATTTGAAGTGGGAAGTCAGTGTGATTGTGAGGTGTCATCTCCAGAATCATACAATACTTATGGAAGTGAGCCTTGCATCACTGTGATAAATTTTAATGGATTCATCACTGTCCCATTGCTAAGTTCCATTGCTTATAGAAGGAGTACACATTAATAAGATCATACTAAATGCATTGAATGAGGATGAGTGGAAGACCTTCCCAGCCAAGGAATAGATTGTAGCACAATACATGACACTATTGAGGGGCACAAGCATGTGGGAACCCCACTGTCCAAAGGGGTTATGTAATCTGATTGCTGTGGGGTTGAATGTCCCATTATTACCCTGGGCTGTAAGGCCCTCCAGTGGACCACCATGTGCTTCAAATACCAATCCAGCCAGGATGGGCAGAAAACTGAACTTTGTTAATTCTCAAAGGAAGGGTGGACTTGTGTTGCTAAAGACCACTGATGTCTGTTGGAGATGGTGCATTCTGTGTATTACTCTGCATGGATAATTATTCCCAAAGTGATGATCTAACCCCCAAGCAACTGACATTAGTACACAAACCATATAGCTCAGTAATTTGACCACAAGGTCAACACCTGGGAGACTGCTGGTTCAATCCCACCTTTAGTCACATGTTCATCAAGGTCATCTATGTAGAACAACCAAGAGGCAATGATGGGAGGTCCCATGATAGCTTTGGAGGCTACTGTGGGATATCCCACCCCCTCTCTGGAGGCCAGTGGGATGTCCCATGATAACTTCAGAGGCTACTGTGGGACATCCCAGGCCCCTTTCCATAGATAGTGGGATGTCCCATGATAGCTTCAGAGGCTACTGTGGGATATCCCACCCTCCCCCTGCAGGCCAGTTGGAGATTCCACCCCTCGCCATAGAGGCCAGTAGGATGTCCATGTACTATATGTCAGAACACCAAAATTCTCTCAAATCAATTTTGTGGCAGCTTCAAGACAAACAGATCCACCATGCAAGTCTGTATTGACTTATTGCATAGGTAACATTATCTACTTTTTATACTAACTCATAGAGCACAGTGAAGGGTCAATGTAGCAGATTAAATGGGGGCAAATTGTACAACTGCAAATGATAACAGCATGGTGGACCTGATAAAAGATAGACCTGTTTTAGTAGCAATGCAGGTAGATTAATTCTCAACACAAAAATAGGCTCTTAGAAAAGCATTGAACAACAATGTTTATGGGGCAAAGTCAATGAGAGAACCCAGACAAGACCAAAATAAATTCAGAAGTCAGCCTCTGCAGCTCTACAGTGCTTGCATGTAACATAGAACTGTAGTATCCTGATGATGATAACAACACCTGATTAGTAAGCAAAAGATGTTGCCCCCCAAGTCCCTTTAGTCTGAGGTACTGCTAACCTTGCCTCAACACCACTTTCAATCCTTGCTTTCCAACCTTGCCACCCCCCTCACCATGTGGAAAAACCCTATCTGTCAAACTTGAAAGAAATTGAGTTTTGAGTGTTTTTAGTCCCCTTAAAATTCAGGCCATCTACCCATTATTTCAAGATAATCATGTCAATTCCATTTGTATTCCACTCAGTTGCCTCAACTCACCAGGGAAAAACAATTGATCACAGTAATAAAATATAGATAAGGTATGCAGGCAACCAGGCAACAGAACTCACCAGAGCCCCTGGCCATTGGACACAGTTGACACTAGGAGAGTTGTCAGTCAGTGATCATCACATCAACACTTGCTTAATGTCACCATATCCCCTCCTCATTGCTGGAGGCTCCTTTATCTGTGGGTGTGACCTCCAAGCTTCACCTCAAATGTTCTCTGACCCAACTCTCTGCACCTCAAACTCTTCAAACAAGAGTACAGTATTTTGAGTATATGTGTCAGAGTCACACAACACCCCTGACTTCCTCTTAGGGCAGAGTAGGAGCAGGTTGGGCTGCAGAGTACAGCAGTCAAAGTCCAAAGTGAATCTGACCACTGGTTGGCGAGATATTCAACAAACAGTGAGTGGAGGGGTATGGAGGAAAGTTTCAGAGACAGAGGTTGGAGTCAGAGTCAGAGGTCAGAGTTGGAGGTCAGATGAGAGGGCATTGGGTTCAGCTAGTGTGCTGCCCCCTTGTGTGAGCTCAGCCCTTGTATTTCAGAGGTGGAGTGGACTCAGAGGGAGTGTAGATAAAACTCCAGAGGGAACTGAGAGGGAGTCAAAGGTGGGGACTTTATGTGATATTCATATTGATTACATTGGAGTACTACATGGCCTTATATATGATGTAGGTCAAGGGCAGTGCAGTGTAGAATGCAAACCAACAAGTGTATAACAGGTTAGCAGTCCCTCTGACACAAGGGATAGAGGGTAGGGATGATGGAGACCTTAACTGAGACAAGGAAACTACTACAATGAGGAAGAGAGGGTAAACACTGAAGGAGCAGAAGAATGGAGAAAAACCAACACAAGGACAGAACCCTATCTGGAATGCAGGGCCACAATTCCAACAGCCCACTGAGCCAACCAAGGCCTCAGAGGAGGCACAGATGAAGGTCTGGCCTCCACATGACCAGCCTGAGGGCAGAGTTGAGTGGAGTTGGTTGGAACATGGACAGGGGACCTTGGAGAGGTGTGGAGATGTGTTTGGAGGGTTGGAGGAGCATGGGAATACATCAGAGGAGGGTGGAGAAGCATAGGAATGTGTCAGAAGAGGGTGGAGAAGTGTGGGAACATGTCAGAAGAGGGTGGAGTAGGTGTTATGGGCTTATGTCAGTGTCATGGTCATGACAATATGCATCTTCCCTGTAGAATGTCAATCAGTAGAAAATTCATTGGTAGATCAAGTGAGCAGTGCTATGGCAGTGTGGCCACAGGGGATAACAAAATAACACTCAAGCAGACACAAATGCTCTTGCATTCAAAACAACAGAGAACTGAGATTTGATTCACTCACTGCTCACCCTATCACAGAAAAATAAACATGTATTTCAAAAGAAAATACTGAGGAGATTAATAATCTAAGTAATCTTCAGGAAATTTGTCCTCATACTTTGCAGCACTACCTCTGTCAACCCATTGCTGTGCTGTAGGCAGGGCTGGGGGGTAGTAGTCAGAGATGTATGGAGCATCATGGTAAACATGATGGTCAGGGTGAGATGGTATGTGATACATCTGACAGGACAGAGGGAAATGCCCCAAACCACAGTGGGCAGGTGGTAATACCTATAGAGAAGTGAAACAAAATGTGACATTGAATGATCAAGCCATGAACATGGTAGGGAACATTGGAGGGGCCAGGATCAGTATAATTGGCACAGTCATAATGAGGGTCCTGCAGGACATTCTATTGGTCTCCTTAAAGAAGCAGAATGCCTGGGATACTCACCTCATAATGCCAAGATGGTGGAAACTGCTGAGAAGGGCCAGGGTCCTGCAGGTGCAAGCAGCTTGGGGCAGCATCACAATGCAGATCCTGTGCAGTCCTCCATTAGTCTTTTAATCAACTGATATGTCTGGACCTCACCCCATAGCACTGAGCCAGCAAGGGGCACTCAGATTGACTGGGTTCTCAGGTGTTCTCATGGCTTGTGCATGCTGGTGGGTCATGAAGTGCATCCTGTGCATGTCACCTGTTAGTTTTGACCAAAATGCAGCAGGATAAATCACTACACTGCAGTTGCCAGTGATGGAGCATGCATCCCTGCCTTTGTCATGCAGGGGCATTTGGTGGTTAGAACATGAAGCCTTGGGGAACATTAGTGGACACCAGAGGTTGAGTGAATTGACTCACCTCACAAGGAACTGAATCATTATCTGTCACATCCACATGAGCCTGCTTGTGCAATGGAAATTGGATTCCACTCTGTGCATGAGGTGCCACCATACCTGGATCCTCTTCCTCATGAGACTTCTGCCACTCAGGATCATCAGACACCTTGCACAAAACCATGCCATCAGGAGCCTTGACCAGTGCAATCTCTCCCTTTAATGGGTGTGCATCTCTTTGCTCATGACATCTGCAAAAATGGTCAGTGATCAGTCAGACAAAAAGAGTACACAATACCTTCATTCCAGGGTTTGATTTTGACCTCCAGCACACCATCCAGACAATTATTTTTCTTGTCATCATTGTCATCAGATTGTCCATTGCACATCGAGCCTAGTTTTCTCTGCAGATAAGGTACCACAAGTTGGCAGAGAGCATCAGCTTTGAGTTTCTTGTACTCAAAACCAGGGCCTGGTGGAGGCACCCCAAGTGGCCAGTTGATTATGATGAGAGAGTTCCTCCTAATGAACTCAAGAAGCCACTGCCAGATGATTTTCTGGGGATCACCAACTTCAACCCTGTGCACCACTTATGGAAAGACAATAAGAGAATATATGGAATACCAGAAATACCTACTGCAAAGACCTTTGAGCACCATTATCAACTTCTCCTTCATCATAGATCCAAATACCTGGTGGTTGTGATCTCTTGTTATCTTCTTCATTTGACAATGCAACTCCAATGCTGCAGCTGAACTGGCAGAAGCACTTGTCCCTAATAATCCAGCCTCAGTACCATTACCATCCCTGAGACACCTAATTGCAATGAGTCTGAGTAAGATATGTGTAACATCACTTAAATATTGTGGTGTACTTGTCCATAAGTCCCTGAACATCAATGGCATGCTCATTGATGTACTTTTGTATGATATTGGAACCACAAAATATCCCAGAGGTCTGGCATCCTGCAGGGTCTTGTCCAACATACATCACAACTCCAGCAATTTCAATATCTTCAAGAGTTGACCATGCTTCAGCCTGCTCAACAGTAAGATCTGCCACCCACCCACCCACTTACAACCACTTGCCAATCTGGAGAACTGCATCTTTGCATTGTGGACTCTGACTGTGATGGACCTGGCTGATTTGTTAGCAGGCACTGCTGAGCAGCTCTCACTCCACTCATAAATGGCCTTCAACTTTAGAGATTCTAGTATGTAGGAGGTACAACAAGTAATAGAAAATTGTCTTCACACAAGTGGCTGTGTAGCTGCACACCTCAGTTTTCCTTCTTTCCATCATCAGCAGAACCCAGCCCACAGCATGGGCTTCTCATCATTCAGTTTTTCATTCTTTCTCATCGCTCCTTGAGTTTTCTTCTAACTAACACACTCCTTTTTCACCTTTTTCTGAGGATCGCCCCAATCCCACCCCAGATTGCAGGCAATCATAGGCAGCCAGAGCTGCAACTATGGATGCACAGCAACCCCAACAGCTGCAATTCCCTGACTTTGCCCTACTGGGCTTCCAGGGTGTAGTTGAACTTGTAATGGCCAGGGCAGAACTGTCCTGGGAGGAAGCCATCGAAGCTCTGGAACAGTGCTGGATCCAGGACAACCCACAAGGTGATCACCAACAAGGGGACCAACCATGCTGGGAAGCAGAACACAGACCCCCTCCCCCTCCAGTACAACCACCACCTGTCAACCCTGAACATCTTCCCCAACGACCCCCTGAAACCAACCCCCCCATCTTCGATGCAGACATGATAGTATCCTCCAACCTACTGATGTGACCAGCCAAGTGCACCCTCAAAAAAATTGAAGCTTTCAAATTTGTCCATATGTGGTACTTCATGAGGGAGGGACTATGAGAGGCAGTGCAGTCAGTCAGGCAACTGGAGGAGAATGATACTCTAGCTATTACCCAGGCTGGTGAAGGAAATGTAATGCTATGGACTGCAAACTCCCTTACCACCTCCAGGAATGTGAAGCCAGACCATGGACTAACCTTCACCGAGTATATGTATGCCAAAACCACTTCCTGACCTGTATCAAGAATGCAGGATGGGGCAACCAGCTGGTCAACACTTTCAATTGGTTTTTCCACAGGATAGACAACCACCAACTTTGAGACTGAGGAGATTGCAGGGAACGAACTCTGCTGCACTACACATCCAAGGTTTGACAAGACTGGCATGACAAGGTGGCATGAAACCAAGCATACAACATCGGAGTTATCAATGAAGACCTTTTAGCAGACATAGGATGTGACCTAGACACAAGGGACATGCAATCAGGGCTTGATCAGGTCAGTCCCCTCCCAGTTTTCCTAGATGGAAGAACATCAAACTGACAACCCATCCCCTTCTCCCCTGTCAACCCCCCACATACTCCCACCCACACCAGCCAATCCTTTCTTCCCATCACTGCTGCACATCATGCCCTGCCCACCCTGCTGCTGCCAAAATAACAGCCCCTCCCCCCCCCTTTCTGCTTCTCCCCATCACACTGGATGAACCTTTTAACAAACTGCTGCTGCTGCCCATGCACCAAAATATTTATACAATATTTATACTAAATTCAAAAAAAAAAAAAACCTGTGCAATAGCTTCAGCACAGCTGCTTCACCTGGCCTGAAATGACAGAGAGAGGTCATCAGCCCTAATGCTTCCAGAGGCACAAGCCCTCCCCCTCCCCCTCCCCCAGATATAATCAGGGCCAGAAGACAAGGCAGCACCATCAGAGATCTAGATCCTGCCACCTCAGGTCACAGTCACCATGCAAATGCTCCAGATCCCCATGACGAAGCCCCAGCAGAGAGAGGAGGGGCTGTCATGACTTTCACCCCAGAACCTACATTGTATGCCTGAAGTGCCTGGGATGACATGAGGACTGACCTTTCTGCAATGAGCCCATGCGATGGGACAAATCAACCCCAGACTATTGCATGTGGGACCACCAAGGCCACCTTGTCAACAAGAGCAGCTGCATCCTCTGCTGGGATTTCCAATGCCCCTGTGGCTGCACAAGCAAACTGCACTGCCATGAGTGTTTGGGCTGTGGAGACTCAAAGCATGGAGCTCAGGACTGTCCCCACCACAAACCCACTTGAATCAAGACAGAGAGGAGTCACCCAAACCCCATACCACCCTCAAGCCTAGGAGAGACTACTTGCACATCACCATCTCACTTCTAAATACCCATCACTAATCTACCAACTCACCTATGGCTTTTATGTCCACATACCTAACATACCCCAAACATACACCCCCCCAAACAGCCCATCCATAGCCCAACACCATCATGCTTTCCAGGAGGTAGTCAACAGAGAGTTTTCACAGAGTCACTATCTAGGCCCTTTCCCTCCCCACCTCCTCAAACAGTACATAGGACCCTTCCAATCCTCCATCCTTAGTATCATACCAAAACCTGGAAAGCCAGGAAAGTATTGACTAATACAAAACCTATCTTACCCTATCATACCTAGACATGGTGCCACTGCTTCAATCAACTCTCATGTTGATTCTTCTTTATTCCCATGCACATGGGGAACATTCCTCACAACATGTGCTTTAATAGCATCGCTCCCCCCAGGATGCCAAGGAGCAACAAGAGATGTAGCAGAAGCCTATAGGACAATACCCATCCACCCATCCCAGTGGCCAGGTCTGGTAGCACACCTCTCAGAAACACCACCAACCTTTGCAGTTGACACAGTGCTGTGTTTTGGGTATGGACCATCAGCAGGAGTCTATGGGGGACTCAGGGACACAAGTTTAGATATCATGCAAGCTGAGGGAATTGGCCCCATAATAGCATGGGTAGATGACCATTTCTTCATACACTAACCCAGATCCTGAGTACTCAAATACAACCTTGCCAGGGCCCAGAAAGCCAAAACAATCTCACAAAATGGAGGAACAAAGATAGACAGTGGATGGCTATGGTACAAAGGCACAAAATTAGCCAACAGGGACCATGAAGAACTTGCAGAAGATTGCCTCCATCCCCTAAAAGCCTTCAAGGACACCAATGAATTTGCCTCACACAATGACACTTACACCTACTCCTTCAAATACATCAACATGGTAGCAGATCAACTTGGAATACCCTGGGAACCCTCCAAGGACACCCCATTTTCCCAGTCACCAACATTCATGGGCTTCCTATGGAATCTAGATGATAAAACAGTAGGTCTCACAGCAAACAAAAGAGAGAAAAACACTACATCTATAGACAAATGGCTGAAAAAGAAAGTGCATAACCTAGAAGAGGTACAGAAACTCCACAGGAGACTTGCCCATGCAGTGCTAGTAATCGCAGGGGGAAGTGCTTACCTAACATCCCTACAAGCTATGCTTACCATTTTCAGCAAAAAACCATTCATGCCCCACACTCTGCCTTGAGGTTTACAAAATGAACTATGCTGGTGGAAAAACACCCTACAACAATCTCTCCCCATCCCCATCCTCATCCACCCATCAGCAATAGACCTCCATGCATTTTCAGATGCCAGCTCCAGCATTGGTCTGGCAATCATCATCAGGGAATGATGGAGAGCCTGGAAGTTGCACACAAACTGGAAGGGAGATGAGAGGGACATTGGTTGGGCAGAGAGTGTGGCTTTTGAATTCCTTGTACGTTACCTCCTCATCATCTGTCCCTCCCCTGAACCTCTACACATCTTCAGGGACAACGAGGGAGTTGTCAAGGCTTGGAAGAAATGACGAAGCAACAACAGGCCCACAAATGAAACCTTTCAGAGGATCCATGCTCTACACACCTCTCCCCCATGCAGAATTTTCGCAGACTATGTCCTGAGTGAAGACAACCCAGCAGACAAACCTTCTCAGGGCATCTATCCCCCCTCCAAATTTTCTCTCCCCCCCATCCCAATCCCAGACCCCATCACACACCTCATATTCAATTTTGATGACCCATGTTCCAGTGATTTCACAGTCCAACATAAATTTCCTTAACACCATCGTGACACCGGTGTCACACACCAAAGGTGTTTGGTGAGGTGGACATGGATGTAGCTGATGAATGGAGGTGAAGACCATAGCCCTCATGTGAAGAAGGACAGCCAGCAATGTCAGCAGTCATCCCTTGCACAAGAACAGGTTGTCAGTGCCAAAGAAAAAGGAGGAGGCAAGTTAAGTGCCAATAAAGTTCTTAAGCACCTGTGTATGGCATTCCGGTTTTCGACGTATCTCCACCAATTCTGCAGACACCGAAACCATTCCCACACTCGCTTGTAGTGCTCAGCCACGCAATCCTACCTTCCAAGATTGGAAAGGATTTGTGCACTCCACACGTTTCTACAGCACTCCCTCCAAAAGATGCTCATTTCACTAATTCTTCTGATATGGCTGCCTCCACATCAGTCATTTCACTTGTCCCCTTTGCTAGGGACCATGGCTACATATATCTACCAGGAGTTCCTACCAGCTTCCATCCTGAAGTGTCCTGGTACATCCCACTCTCATCTGCCCCCTCTCAGCCCATCCAGCTTGGACAGCATGTTCTTTTTGTCAGTATGACCTCCAGGAGGACATTCTTTGGTCACCTCAGGTCTGTCATTCGCTTGGAAAGGTCTTATGTGGTCATTTCAGTCTCTCCAGTCCAAGAAGCATATGGATCCTTCCTCCCTGCCCCCTGCAACGTCTTCATACCAGTCTTGTCCATCATTCTTCCAAAATTGCAGTGGCTACAGTATAATCTACTGTTCTCCACTCTCCCTGATCGCATCCATGATGAGTATGATGCACATCTTGCCTCCTTGTTGCAAGATACAGCAGAAGACACTCCCCCTTCATCCTCTCTTCCAACAGAGCCTTGTTCATGAAGTTTTTATTTGCTTCACTGAGAGGATGGTTTGGGGGGGAAAGTTGCAATCCCCTATGCTCCTGTCACCCCACAGACCCCCAAAGCTTGACCCCTGTTGACATCTGACTCACCCTGTCCACTTTTGGATGTACTATATCGGCATCAGGTCAGTGCTGCCTCTCTGTCATCCCACTTTGGCCTAGAAGTGATCTCTTCAAGATGTGACATGCACAGCCTCCCCCTAATGCAATTCCAGTGCACTTTCCCAGTTCCTGACATTGCT